GAGTACTGGAAAGCTGTTTCGTCCTGGTTTGGGACTCTTCAGCAGCTTCCCATACTTCGGTTTGGGGGAGCAGGGTCTGAACATAGTGGTTGGAAGTCGGGTGACTAGATCAATGAGACACATCTCCATTGTAATTTACCAATACTTGAAAATTAATCTGATATTCACTGGCGACTGGCCCTATTCAAGCAGTTAACCTGGGGTTCTAGTGGGAAGCCGTTACCAGTAGGGTGCAGCAGGTTGAAGGTGAGGCAGTAACTCATCGAAGGAGACATTGAGAAGTGGTCACGCTATGTCGTGAATTGGAAGAAGTTAGAATTCATGGGCTGGCCATTGGATCTGGCCCCAGTGCCCTAATGGTATACGAGCTCTCTAGCCTTGTAACCAGAAGGTCCTGGGTTCGAACCCTGATGGCGGGTGCGTACTGATGAAGAGTCCCAAACTAGGACGAAACAGTTGTTCGGGTTTTCCAATGGTTCTCTAACCAAAGAAATTTTTCTTCGCTGAATTTGTCTTTTATTTTCTTCATCCACTTCACCTTGACATAGTGTACCCCGCTGACCACAACTTCCCTTACTACAGCTTCATGACATCCATCCAGTAGCTGTCAGTGAGCTGGAAGTTGATATTTACATTGTGGGACTAGGTACATATAAAGGGCGTTCGAGAACACCTCCAAGCTTTGATTGAAGAACAGAGTGTAATGCCGTTAATTCATTTATATTGCCGATATATATATATATATATACAGTAGATAATAACCGCTCAGCTTTTGATCCACTCGTCAACATTGTCTAACAAGTCAGACAAAATTTTGCCAAAAGGGATAAGAGTTTATTTGCTTTGTATGGCGGTGGATAACATTGTGTAAAAAAACGATTTTTATTATTTCTTTCGTTACCATGATCGTAATTTTCACATAGGATTAACAGAATTTCTTTATTCGATATTGTCCCATTTTATTTTGCTTTATTTCACTTTATGTTATTACAATCTGAAATTCTATTCAGCTTATTTTCATATGCCTCCTCACCAATATAATATATATATATGCTTGGAGCATCTGGACTTCGCCGATGATATATGTCTGATTTCCCACAAACTGGAAGATATGCAAGCGAAAAGCAACAAGTTGTCAGAAGAAGCATCAAAGATAGGACTCCAAGTAAACATATAGAAACAAAGGTGATGAAGATTCCTGGCCAACAGCAATAGCAGCAACAACAACAGACAACAATCATCATGAATGGGAGAAATCTGAAAGAACCAACCTCCTTTACCTACCTACCTGGGAAGCATCGTTTCAACTACAGGCCAACGGAACTGACGAGGATATCATCAAAGCGAGAATCGGGAAAGCGAGACAAGCTTTCATTACTCTCAAGTCTGTGTGGAGGTCAACAGCCCTACTCAGCATGAAAAATAAGATCCGGATTTTCAACTCCAATGTGAAGTCAGTGCTACTTACTATACGTACGGATCAGAGACTTGGCGCCGCGTCACGAAGGCCACTTCGAACAGACCTTCATCAGTAGCTGTCTTCACTCAGTACTACTCAAAATCAAATGGCCAGAAAAGATCAGCAACAGGGATCTCTGGGAGCAAACCAACCCAGCAGGAACCGACTGTGCAACAAATAGGCAGGAAGAAGTGGAGGTGGATTGGCTGGCCATACTCTGAGGAAACAATCCATCAAGTGACATCACTAGACAAGCCATTTCTCGAGTGGAACCCGAAAGGGAAGCGGCGAGTTGGTCGTCAGTGCAAGGGTGACATGGAGGAGGTTATGTGAAGATGAGATGAAAACGTGTGGGCAGACTTGGAGCCAGGTGAAGACTCGCAGAGAACCGAACGCAATGGATAGGTGCGTGCTGAAGCCCTGTGTTCCTCTAGGAATTAAATGAAACAATAATAATAACATATACATATATGTAGTCATATCAACTAAAGGTGAGTCTAATCGATGAGGTTGTGAATCTATATCTATTAAGATGGCTAAGACACATGTGAATGCCGAGTCACAACGAAGACTATGAAAAGCATCCATTTGTAATGTTGAACGATCTGATTTGTTGCTTCAAGGTTGCTGTTGCCGCAACTTGATGTGCTGTACTTGATGCACTGAAACTCAGTCAGTCGAATGACTTTACTGGATTATTAATGTCAGTAGGCTGCATGAGAATATCGTTCTGATGAAAGTACTAAACACCGGTGATGCTTACCTCCTTCTTACTGAAATATTGTATCTCTCCAGTAATAATATGTAGAAATGCGTGTTTTTCTAGTTTTATGAAAAAGTTATACAGAAGTGACGTGAGATTGTAACGAACAGCTTATTTTTATTATTGCTTGATATATCAGTCAGTGGAGCGTGATTTGAAAGCAATTGTAGAGTTTAAAATACACAACAATTACTTATCTAGTTGAGGATCAATAAGGTGTTTTGTTGAAATTTGGAGAGACAAAATAACAGTAAATGTTGTGTATTTACAATTTTTCTCTCGGTTGATTCGTATTGCCTAAATAAATATGCATATCATCAAGATAGTTTATACTTCTTAACTGCTCTGAGACTGAGTTTTCAACGTAACATTTTGCACAGAGATGCAGTAGTTCAAGTTGCCACACTCCATGTAGTACACAAAGCAAGAGAAGAGAAATGCATAATGGAGACAGTAGACAGGGATATGAGACAAAAGGAATAGTAATCACGAAGAACAATATAGTTTCATTTGGGTATTATAAGTCACAAGGAATGGATGCATCTGCACCAGCCATTGAGAACGATTTTGAGCCATGTCACCAATTGTTTCCAACCATTGGTTTTTACCGTCCCGAGGACCCCAACCAGGAAGTCTACACCTTCCTACGTGGCCTAGACTAACTGTTGTAGATTTCATTGACTGGTGCCATGTTTTCGTTTGACCGCCGCTAGTTCTTTTCCAGCCTGACCCTATGTCAGCTAACACTTTCCGTCGAGGAAGGAGATGACTAGGCATACGTAACACATGTCTTAACCATCTCAGTCGACGTAATTTCACAGTCTCGTCGATTGATTTCTCCTCCTTACCTAGCACTCGACCGAGGCCTAACCTCAATATTGCTCACCCTACTATACCACCTGACGTGGGAGATAAAACGCAGACACCTATGATCAAAGACAGCTAGTCTTTTCATATCCTCCACTCTCAATGGCCAGGTCTCACAGCCATAAAGGAGGACGGAGCGGACTGCTGAGCAGTACACACGCCCTTTTGTCGACAGCCAGTGGATATCACGTCTACTCCAGAGACTGCGTAAACTGGCATATGCGAAACTAGCTTTCTGTATCCGTGCTGAGATTTCGTCAGCGATCAACCCGTTGGCACTGGCTGATGCAACTTCCCAAATAAGTGAAGTGGTCAACACGCTCTACCACTTCACTCCCTATTTCTATGCCACACTCCAATGTAGCACACAAAGGAAGAAAAGAGAAAAAAAATACGAAAGTACTATAATAAACAGAAATGCACTGGAGGAAGAGTAGAAACGTGGAAGAATATAAAAAACTTAATAGATGTGAAAGATTACAAAGAGTGAATACATCTGTTCTATTGACAAAGATTTTGAACCGTATCACCAACAGTCCCAAGGCATTGATTCTTTCCGTCTCGGCAACGCTTACCAGATAGTTTAAACCTCCCTTCCTAGGCTGGCTGAAACTATCAATTAAAAGCTTCATGAATTGATGCCGTGTTTCGATTTGACCACCTTTAACTCCCTTCCAACCTAATCCTTTGTCAATTGACTATTGTTCGTCAATGAAGGCGGTGGCTCCTCGGCATGCACAACATGTGTCTTAGCCATCTTAATAGATATAGATTCACAACCTTATCGATTGACTAACCCTAGTTAATATGACTATATATATATTAAATTGGTGAAGCGGCATATGAAAATGGCAAGTTAACTAATCGACCACATTCTAATGTACAATATCTGGTTTTTGGATAAAGTATATTATCAGCTGATTAAAATAACCTCATCATATAATTTTTGTGCTGAGGAAAAACATAAAAATCTATGCGAAAGCAAAGAATGCAATGAGCTCACAATGCAGCGTTATTTTAGCTTTTTAAATCAATTGCAAATTTCTGTATTACACGACGACGTGTTGTGTTACAAATAGGATAGTGATGCCTGATTGGTGTTCAAACTTTGATTTGTAGAATACAACCAAATCGATAATGTGTATTCATTGAAAATCCTGTGTCCTGTGTCAATAAATTACGGTCTCATTAAAGGGTCCATATCGTTTCAAAAAGATGGTTCCAACAGGAATCAACATATCGCTTGTGTTTTGTTTAGGGAATTCATCAACGGGTTTTGCAGTAGTTAATTCGATTTCTTAATGTGTATGTTGTTCGAACTCAGTTATCCGGAATCACATTCACTGTTTGAGGACTGGTGATACTACCTAGTTACCCAGACTAAATAAAGTAAGTGGAGCGGGACTCGAACCTGTAACCCGTTGGCTAAAACTGAGTGCTTAAGCCCGGTGAGCCACACCTCCATTTCCTGCACGTGTACATTGAAGGTAAAAAATCTGGTTGCGTATGGCTATTCTGGCTAATGCTTTCATTTTTATCAATTAATATTAGTATTATTCCCTTGACTTCCAAGTGGGACATAGGGCTTCGAGAGCACATCTCCATTTATAACCCCGTTCTCTGAAGTACGTTTCGGTCGGCTCCTCGATCACCCATAAGGTTTCACCTTCTGCTCACGTCAGCCTCGGACCCTCCTACTTTTTATTCGGGCTTCACTCAATAGCCTGGAGCGTAGCAGCACATCTCAATTTATCTATAAACATGGGACTAAATATACACATATACATTGAGAAACAGAACTCAAACGAATTAAATGTGTTTTGTTTGCACAAATGTGTGTAAAAATTTTTATTCATGTTTATGTTGCTTCATCATTGCTAGACAAATCTCCTCGTTTTCTTTTCCATATAGGAAGCCTCACCAATTCGAACTTTACATTTCCATCCCTCTGGTAATTTTTTACTTGTCGGTACGCAGCATAAAACACGTAAGTTTTTATCTGCCTTTATTGTATTTCACAAACATTTAATAGAACAGTTGCAGGTATACGAGATATATAATAATAATAGCTTTATTTTGACCAGTGTTTAATTTTTAAAAAACGTATAGAATTTATTGCATAGTACTTTTTGTTCTTCGTCCGGCATCTTCAAGTAAAGTAGTAATTGATGGTAAATCGTGTGACACAACACTGTCTGACCTGAAGCGAAAAATCAATCTCTTATGGTATTTCTTCTTTGTCTCCGAGAAATACACGGCATTTGTCTGAATACTAATTAAATAAAGTGCGCGAGTACAATATGCGACCCCAAAACATACCTGAATGATTCGAGACTTCAGGTAGTTCACTTTTTTCCCCGAGGAGTAGCAGTTTGTACTGAAAGCCTCAAGGACAGTTAGCTCACTTATTGGGATGGGTATGTTGCCACCCATGATTATGCTTTTTCTTGAGTTTAGTAGCAAATTGCTAATCAGCAGACTGCTAACATTTTACATACTCACGAGAGTAAACGCTACCATTAGAGGTCATGCTTTTATAGATTATAACGTGAGAAATAAGATCCAGTATCATGATGGAGGTTTCCGGTAGCCCAAGTTTTGAGTGGGGCACCTCTGCCACGATATATATATATTATTATTAAAAAGACGATTGCAGCGAAGAAAATTTTCTTTTCGACGAAGTCATCAACTAGGCTGTACATTCATGTATTTATAACAAATGGATGGGAAAGACTCGATCAAACCTATCAAAGGGAGTGAAATTAAGACATCTGGGCATAGCCGAGGCACTAGTTATCCAAAAGTTCAAACCCACGCTTTGTATCCAAAAGAAATAAGTCCAACTCTTGCCTCTGCCATGGCCATCATAAACAGGTAATTCTTTTAGTAATGACCATCCCATCGCCTTTCTTATCCAAACTTCCTGTTTATTCATGTTATTTTTAAGTTTTTCTTAACCCCTATTTACACTACCATATTTTCATATCCAAACTTCCTGTTTATTTTGTCATTTCATTATTTCTACATATTTAACCCCTAACTGCATAAACAATTATTCATCACATTAGTTATGATCCCACTAGATTTTTTATCCAAACATCCTGTCTATTGTTGTTATTTCTACATTTTTAACCCATAATTGCACAATATGTCAATCTTCTCAGTAATTATGATGCTACTTTATCTGAGCTTTATTCGTCCCCCTTTTTATTATGTCATTTTAATTCCTAATTATAATTTTATTAATCTGACCCTTAACCAGAAATTATTCTGGAACTTTCCCATCCATTTGTTATAAATACACGAATGTTCACTCTAGTTGATGACTTCGTCGAAAAGAAAACTTTCTTCGCTGCAACCGTCTTTTTAATAATTCCTATGATCCAATGTGTGTATTCCGTGATATATATATATATATATATATATTACTGAAAAAAATGACTAGCTAAACAGCCGTTCAGATTGGTTTATACATTTTGTGTTATATTTGGAGATTTAGAATGATCTAAACGCTCAATGACTACATTTCACAACCTAGATCGTTGTGATGTGTAACCAGACAGGCTCAGCTGTGAATATTAACATCACGGGGATTTCGTTGAACTAATTCAGTATAATATGAAATGGATTCGTGCATTGGTGGTTCAATGGTAGAATGCGTCTGTGGCACAGTGGTTAGGACTCTCGCCGACCATGCACATGGTCCGGGGTTCGATCCCCTGCCGGCGCACACCCGATATCTATGGTCGGCCTGAATTTGGGCTACCGATATCCATGCTGAAAATTCCACACTTGTACTGAAAATACGGTGTGGAATCAAGCTGTAAATCAAAATAAAAAATTAAAAAATAAATTCACCCACCCGCTTGGTCGGTGTTCGATTCCATCTCGACCTACTTCTAAACCTTCTATACTTAACAGTAGGCCCAGGAAAGGCGGTAGGTTCGTTGTGTGTGTGAGTCTAGCGACACTATCCTGTCTAAAAACTGTTGCTTCTAAAACTTCAAACGTTGGAGCTCTATATTCCAGTCAGAATGCAAAGAATGAAATGATTTGACTGTTGGTAGGTTTTTTTCTACCAGCTGTACTCGTCCCTGGATCCGATAGTCAGTGATAGAATCATGGGTGCATATTGCTGCAGAGGTGTCCTAAACTAAGACTAAAGAGTTGTCCGATACTACCTGATTTTCAATGATTCTCTAACCGAAGTCAGAAAGTGATCAAACTTGCAGTCAACTCCCTGCAAATCAACACTTAGAAATTAGATAGTAATTTTACCAAAGCATTTATTGCTTACAAAGAGAAACATTCAGAAAAAAGAAATCTTGTATTGATTTCCTAAGCCTTCTAGTATTTCATTTGAAATAATTTTATGAGTCGCACTGAATTTTGTCTACGACATTTGTAACCTGTGTGGTTTTGGATATTCACAAAGTATACTGTGTATGGGAAAAAAAATCTGATGACATTGGATTAAAAGGTCAATTTTCATAGTATTTGTCTCCTTTCGTCTTCTCCTTTTCCCTCTTCTTGCTTTCCGTGTTTGCTTACTAGTCGTTCGTGTTAATTTTTCAGTCATCTGTCTATTCGCGTGATTTTTTAATGCTGATATCTTGTTGCACAGCACATACCTTATCAGAAGCATGCATATCCTAACTCTCCTTCATTCATTGGCTTTCAGAGTGAAACATACAGCTTCAAGCTAGAACTTTGAAGTTTCGATAGTAGTGGCTTTTATTTTTACGGGGTGGGGTTGCTAGCCCAACCTTCCCTCGTTAACAGGTCTACTACCGGTGAGGTAAGGTTTTGTAGTACCTTAGTGGAGAATCGAACCTGGACCACGTGTGTGGCTGGTGGGCACTCTACCCCTGAATCACTGACAGCAGCATACATAACCTCGTATTTTTTTAGGTGTTGAAAGATTTAGCTGAATTCTCAACTAAATAAAAAAGCATTTTCTTTGTTTTATAGACCCTTTACAGGTGATGATAATAATAATGGTTCTCTATTATTATTATTGCTTCGTTTAATTCCTAGAGGAACATAGGGCTTCAGCCGTGCGTCTCCATTGCGTTCGGTTCTCTGCTAGATTTTTCACCTGGCTCCAAGTCTGCCCACACATTTTCATCTCTTCACATGGCCTCCTCCAAGTCACCCTCACACTGACGACCAACTCGCCGCTTCTTTTTCGGGTTCCACTCGAGCAATGGCTTGTCTAGTGATGTCACTCACTTGATGGTTTCCTCAGAGTATGGCCAGCCAATCCATCTCCATTTCTTCCTGCCTATTTGTTTCACAATTGGTTCCTGGTTGGTTCGCTCCCAGAGATCCCTATTGCTGATCTTTTCTGGCTGGCCATCTGATCTTGAGTATTGAGCGAAGACAGCTGTTGATGAAGGTCTGTAGTTTGTTTGAGATGCTCTTTATGACGCACAGTGCAAGTCTCTGATCCGTATAGTAGCACTGATTTCACATTGGAGTTGAAAATCCGGATCTTATTTTTGATGCTGAGTGCTGTTGACCTCCACACAGACTTGAGAGTAATGAAAGCTTGTCTTGCTTTTCCGATTCTTGCTTTGATATCCTCATCAGTTCCGTCTGCCTGTAGCTGAAACGATGCTTCCCAGGTAGGTAAAGGAGGTTGTTTCTTTCAGTTTCCTTCCATTCATGCTGATTGTTGTCTGTTGTTGTTGCTGTTGGTGGTGTTGCCCAGGAATCTTCATCACCTCTGTTTTCTCTATGTTCACCTGAAGTCCTATCTTTGATGCTTCTTCTGCCAACTTGTTGCTTTTCAGTTGCATATCTTCCAGTTTGTGGTTCTCTAACTGATACCAATCCGTGATCAAGTCGTAAAAGTACAACTAACCCTTACGAACCAAACTATAGAAAATAATAATAATCCAAAAGATACATTACCTGGAAAATTTACCATTTTCCTCATATCTGTTTACTACAACTTGGGATGTGTGGGGAGTTCAGTGGATATAATGAAATAATGTACAGTTAACTATGTGTAACCTTGTATGCTTAAAACTATATACTGCAAACTGATTGAGATCAGTAGGAGTCGTATACTACTCAGATCAACCAGTAGTACTGATTTCGCTGTCCGAACTTGGTCAAGTAAAGGATATTGCAGATGGGCTCAGCCCCAAACGAGTGAAATGCCCGTCCGATGTTTAGATCGTTTCGATTTGGCTAATAAACACTATTAATTGATTATGGGTGGTACACAAATACTCATCTCAGTCATTCAGTAGTATATAGTTTTATGCTTCGTTTCTTGATTACCATTTTATAGTATGAAGCATACCACATGTTGTGGTGATCTTAAATAATTTTGATTTCCAAAACAAAACTTCGGGGGAAATCTCACCTTGAATTGTGTAAATTGCAAATTTATTTGCTTTAACGTTTGATTTAACGTTCTATATATTGTCTAGTAAATGCTATTCCCTTTTTTTCTCTTCCTCTTGTATTTACTACAGTTCGTTTATATGATGTACAAACTTGTCGTTGTTATGTATCAGCTGTACCAGAAGATCAACATCTAAGTGCAGTTAATATGGTACGATGGTCTCCTAATGGAACAGCATTTGTAACTGCTGGAATGGATGGCAGTTTCAAGATATGGGATGGAGTTTCATGTAGATGTGTAAATACCTTTGAAGCAGCACATGATGGAGCACCTGTGTGTTCTGTAGTCTTTTCACGTAATGGCAAGGTATGTTAGAACACGTGACATATTGGCTTTTATTCAAAAGCGCAGTGATTTGTCATATATATATATATAGACTTATATATATATATATATATATATATATATAGAGAGAGAGAGAGAGACTAAATGGTTGGAGGCAATCGGCAGGAAGCCACCAACCCAGGTTTCGTGCTAGTTGGCACTCACTAGTCAGCAAGGCGTATCCTTAACCTTGAAGGAACTGATATCCCTTCTAAGATTCGAACCCGCGTCACCCAGTGCTGCAGTCAGAGACGTTACCACTGAGCTATTCGACCTCGCGATTGACCTCTTGTAGGACTGTAGTAGATACTTTGATTGGACACTAGTAACTAGTACGATGTGTCTAGTCCTTTGTTTGGTGCAGACTGAATTCTATCAGTCAGGTTTGCAATGTGTCCAGCATTCTAGGTAGCTCGCCATCACGGTGTACATTGATTTGATGATATTAGATGGTTGGAGGCAATCGACAGGAAGCCTTGGACCTAGGTTTCGTGCTTATATATATATATATTATATATATATATATAATTCCCCTGGGTTCCGTCTGGAACATGAGGCTTTAACAATCATCTTTATTAGCCGGCTCTACGATTCCCCACAACTTTCATCTCCTCCTCTCACGATCTCCTCCATATCACTCTTGAACATCCAACTCATCGTTTCCCATTCGGGTTCAACTCAGGAGCCTGACGCTCAATGTGACTAAACTGTCTCCTCAGTGTATGTTCGATCCATCTCCATTTCTACCGTCATATTTGTTGTGCAAGAGGTCCTTGATTTGTTCTTTTCAGAGTCCCTTGTTCTTAATCTTTCCTGGCCAGCCATCTGATTTTCAGTATGGAGCTAGCGAAGGTTAGTGTTGATGAAAGTCGTTAGTAGTGGCCTGTTAGAAATGCCTTTCGTGAAGCACTCGCCAAGACTCTGACCCATACAGAATTGACTTAATAATAGTGCTGAAAATCAGAATCTCGGTTCTTATACTGAGTGAAACAGACTTCCAAACTAATTTCAGGGTGACAAATGTCTGCCCTACATATTAACCGATTCTGGTTTTAATATCTTCATCCATGCCGCCTGTAGTTGAAACGATGCTGCCTAGATAAGTGGAAGAAGTGACCTCGTCCAAATTTCCTCCATTGATAATGACTGGTGTTTGTTGTTGGCGGCTGGTGGGTATCTTCATTACACCTCTGTCTTCACTGCCTGCTTATTCTGCCAACTTATTGGTTTTCGCCTGTAGGTCTTCGACTTTGTGCGACACTCAGCATAAGTCATCTGAAGAGTCCAGATCCTCTAGAGTCTTCTTGTTGATCCAATGTATTCTCGTCTCCTCGATTCCCAAGTTCTGCCGTGTGATCCAGTTGACCACAACAAGGAATATCATCGGTGATGTTGGACAGTCCTGTCTCCTGTCTTCACATCGAAGGCTTCATTAGGTTTTTGGTTGTATATCACCTGACATGTGGCATTGTCATATAGCTATTGACAGTATATTCCTAAGTGTATAAATTCCTCATATTTGGGCAAGGGAACAGGTTATCGATTTAAGCTAGAAAATAACCTGCATAATGCAATTTTCACTGCGGTATTATGCCATAACAATGCCAGAAGCTAACAGAATATTAAGTTTCTATATATAATAATTACTGGCGAAAATGTAGGCGGTAATTTTAGTTCACACTGGCGTCTAATCGTTAAAAAAAAACTTGTATTTACGTTTGCAAACTTAACAAGAGACAACAAAATTAGTAGGTTTGATATAGTTTTACGGTATATGAAAAGAATACAGCTTATTTATCAGTTGTTTTCATTTCTTATTCTCTGTAAAGACAACAAATCACAATATTAACCGGATAGATTTCGATACCGCAGAAAATCAGTGTTTTAAAGAGACATCGAAAATCATAGAGTACTGGGCAGCAGTTTTATCCTAGAGTAATAGGGGTCTTTGGCAGTGTGTGTGTGTGTGTTTCCATAGTCCAACCACACATCAAACCCAGAACCATCTGGTTACATGACTGTCTGTCTGTCTGTTTTCGACATAGAACTTTTCACATATGTGCGGCAGTTCAAGTCGCCACACTCCATGTAGCACACAAAGCAAGAGGAGAAGTGCATATTAGAAACAGCAAACAGATGTGTGAGACAAAGGAAAAGTAATAACGAAGAACAATATAGTTTCATTTGGGCATTATAAGTCACAAGGAGGGGATGCATCTGCGCCGTTGAGAACGATTTTGAGCCATGTCACCAATTGTCTCCAGTCATTGGTTTTTACCGTCCCGAGGACCCCAACCAGTCAAGAAGTCTACACCTTCCTACGTGACCTAGACTAACTGTTGTGGATTTCATTGACTGGTGCCATGTTTTCGTTTGACCGCCGCTAGCTCTTTTCCAGCCTGACCCTATATCAGCTAACATCGCCCATTGTCGAGGAAGGCGATGACTAGGCATACGTAGCACATGTCCTAACCATCTCAGTCGATGTAATTTCACAGTCTCGTCAACTGATTTCCCCTCCTTACCTAGCACTCGACCGATGCCTAACCTCAATATTGCTCACCTTATTATGCCACTTCACGCGTACTTAAATACCTCTGGAGTCATTCCATCAGGTCCCACTGCTTTGCCTTGCTTCAGATTAGTGACAGCTTACATGATGATCACTTTCACCCATTGGCTGAATGATAAACATCTTGTAACCCGAAAGACCTTAATTCGTTATTTATAATTGGGTTGTGAGTATGTATTATTGATTGAAACGTTTCAATATTTAGAAGTCACCATGTGGGTGGAAATATCTGTGTCTCAGAGCTATGTGATATTCTGTCGGTCGTCTAAATTAATGTGACAAAATATTTCCAAAGATCAAAGAAATCTCGACAAACTTAACTTGAATGTGAATGATAAAGCAAAAATAATACTATAACACAACCCTTAACGGTCACACGTTGTTCAATTCACTCCGTTTTGAGGGTTTTGTTTTTAGAATAGAAATTGACGTAAAGCGTCAAGCGAGACTTGAACTGATGACAGAATGACTCACTTCTCACTTCAAATAGCTTAACTTTTATATAACGCAGAGTTGAATAGCAGAAGAAGAAAAAAAAAGCAATTTCTTTATAAGCGGTGTATATACTAAAAAGGAATTCAGCAGAAAGAGAATGTAGAACAAATTCTTAGATTTGCATTTTGCTGTAATTCATGTGAGCTAACATGTCAAACAGAGTTTTTACTGCGCATCACAAGTGTGTTTATAAATAGTAGGTAGGTAGTTTCATGTAATCTAAGTAGATTTTGTAGGGTTGATAAAATTTCATCAGTCAAGCTTATTGAGAATTTATTTGCTCTAAGGGTGAATTCTCTTCTTTCAGCTTAGTGAGTAGAGTATTCACCAGTACGCGTCCATGATCCGAGCTACAGGATGATGAAATTCTGTAGGGAGTACGTGAACATTTATCCGCTTAACCCTGAATCAAATCTCCATTCATACATGAACTAGTTAGTCATTACTGACCACCGAACTCCTCTGTAAGTTATTAGGTTGACGTTGTGATCAGTGCGTGTTCAACTCAATCGTGTGTGTTAGTGCAAGCTATTCATCACGGATAATATTAAATCGCTGTGGTTACTAATGAAGATTATTGGTAACTAGAGATTTGGTTTTGACCCTTTTACTGAATAAGAATGCGCTCGCCTCAGAACTGTGAACAAGTCATAGGTCTTGTATATTATGGTGCTTACTGCTATTCAACAATCACTCTTCTTACTTACACAAACCTTAAAAGTGTCATTTTATTTGAATGATATCGTCGACTGTGCTTTGGATGGATGATACTGCGCATAATGGACTTTCATTATGTATGCACTTATCAGACAGCAGAATTAATAGACTGTTTTAGAAGACTTTCTGAAATAACAACAACACAAGCACCAATCACTGTCAACAAGCGAAGTTTGAAAGACGTCACTCCCTTCACTTATCTGGGCGGCATCATTCCAGCTATATGCAGCACGGATGATGATGTCAAAACCAGAATGGGAAAGGCAAGACAGACCTTCATCAGTTTGGAAATCTTCTGAACTCAACGTAAAAGACAAAATGCCGATTTTCAATATAAATGTTAAGTTAGTTTAATTTAATTTGAGATTTTCCCGTCGATTGATTGGACCGAAGTGCTCAGTCTCAGGTTGACATGTCGGCTTCTTGTGCAGATGCTTCGACGATGTCTGGGCATGTAATTAGAATTTAATTGGTGGGTGGTGACTAGCAGTGGAATCCAGGATGCGCATTTCGTCCTATTTGGGACTCGTCAACTGGATGTACCTGCATTTTCCAGTGAGTGATGATGTTCCCACCGAGGCTGGAACCCAGTGCCCTTAGTTAAGTTAGTTCTTCTATATGTGTCAGTGTCTTGATGAGTCACGAAAAGCGTTTCCCACAGGCTGTAGACTTTTATCAACAGTTGTCTCCCGTCTATGTTGGAGATCAGATGGCTAGTCAGAAAGAATTAGCAACAAGAATCTCTGGAAACGAACCAACCAAGAACCTGTTGCTCAACAAATCTGATGACGAAAATGGAGGTGGATCGGACACACGCTAAGGAGAGACTGTCGGGTGACATCTCACTTCAGGCCTTCGAGTGAAACCCGAGTGAGAAACAATGAACTGGGCATCCGAGGGTGACATGGAGGAGATTGTGCGAGGAAGGAGATTAGGGATTATGGGAAATCGTGGGACCAGCTAAACGGGGGGGGGGACTGCAGAGAACAGAACAAAGTGGAGAAGTGCTGTTAAAGCCCTATGCTCCTGTCGGAACCCAAGGGAATAATAATAATAATTTAGAAGACTTTCTGAAACACTTAGATACACTGCAAGCAGAGTTGACTGTTAGATTGTACTTGTACATTCATATAAGCGGAAGAGATGATGAAAACTCATGCTCAATAGTTCGTGTTTTTTTATTATCTATATCGTTCTTATCGCTCATACTTCTTTCTTTTATTTCACGTGTTTGACCTAGTCATCTGCTTGTAATCCATTGTGCTCAAAACTACCTCGGATAAATTAGATTTGTAATTAAATCACCACCACACTCGCTGGTGGTTAGTCACATCTCTGTATATAGTGAAATAGTTCTGAGTAACTCGGTGTTTTTTTTCTTCTTTTTTTTTTAGTATATTCTCAGCTCGGGTAAAGATAGTGCTGTTAAACTATGGGAATTAGCTACTGGACGATGTCTTATCACATATACAGGAGCAGGTACAGTTGGAAATCAATCACATCGATCAATGGCTGTTTTTAATCATACTGAAGATTATGGTGAGTAAAAAATTTGTTGAATTATACACCTGAACTATATGTATTCATATGAACTGTGATCAAGATTTGACCGGATAGTTGCAAAATAATTGAGCGCCGAGTGAGAAGTAGACATTTATAAAATTATATTTGTAAAATCTCAGCGAAATTGAAATGATTAATTCCAACGTTTCGTTCGGCAATCTGGTCTGAACTTCTTCAGGGAAATTAATCGAAATTAACATAACGGAGGTTTATATATAAAAGGAACATCTCTTGTTTTTGAAACTTTGTCCAATCATGAGCCATGAAACAGGCATCAACATGTATAATAAACAAAAATTGTATGAACTGTGATCAAAATTTGACCTCAGACTTTCAAAATTAGTCTGCCTTTTGTTAAAACATATGTGTGTATATGCAGTATACAATGGTGTGTGTGTGGGTGGGTGAACAGTCATAAAACATTTGTTATTCTCTCCATAAGAAGACGTAGATAATCGGGAATTTGACCAAGTGTGACTAATTGTTGATACATATCCAATTTTTATTTATAAGTCAGGATTTGCCATGCATCAGCTAACATCACACCTTCATGTCTGTTCAAACTGTTGGGATTCACCCATATATGTAGGGCTTCTGCAGTCAGTCTTTCTTTATATGAACCAAACTTTCTGTAAAACCTTAGTCTTATCAAAGTCGATTTTGTGTCCCGTTTCTATCGAATGCAGTGCAATCGCTGAGTTGTTTTCTAGCTTCTTCAAGTCTGCAGAGGTCTTTGGAACCACCTTTAGACATTGTTTATGCTCTTTCACTCTTACATTTACCTGTCTGGAAGTTTCTCCTACATATACGGCGTTACAATCCCCACAATTGATCTGGTATACACAATTCTGCTGGTTTTCTTGTTCTATTTTATCCTTAACCTTCACCAGTAATGAGTGTAAGGTGTTAGTTGCACGAAAATACACTCTTATGTCATGCTCGTTAAGGATTCGTTTTATTTCATCGGATGTTTCTTTGCGGTAAGGAATCACCGCTGTACTAACCCAATTCTTAGCATCAGGTTTCGATTCATCCTTATCTTCACATTTTAAATATCTTTTTATGAAGTCTTTAGGATAATTATTTGATTCAAGAGGGGATTGAACCAATTTTAGTTCCTTGCTAATATCTTCCTCCTCAGTAACTAGACGTTTGGCTCTGTTGATCAGATTCTTGGTCACAGTTACCACCAAAGTAACTGTGGTAGATATCGGGTTTCATAGGGAATGAATGCATCGGGATCATTAGGAAGGATTTCGATTCACATAACTAATAGTCCCCACCCATGGATTCTTAGCATCTCGAAGTCCCCAACCTTGTAGGCAGTCTTTACCTTCCTACGTGGTCGGTTGAAACCAACAGTTAAAAAAAGCTTCATATACTGGCGACTGATTTTGTTTTGATTACCCGTAACATTTTTCCAACCTAATCTTATACCGGCTAGTATTGCTCATCGAGGAAGGCAGTTGTTCGGCGTGCGTTGTAACACGTGTCCTATCCATCTGAAATGATGCAACTTTACAACCTCATCGATCGACTTACCCTCCTCCTTACCTAACACTTTACGCCTAATCTCAACAGGATGAACTGGTTATCTACTGTGTAGTGGTGAAATTGTTCATTTCTCATATCAATATGACCCTCATTAGAATACGAGTCAGTCATGAGGTATGCTAACACCACCCACCACCATATGAATGCATGAATTATGTTCACTATTACCAGTTTCAATCTCTAAAAACGTGAACATATTGTAGCCAGCTGGATAGGAACTTGCATTTAAATGTAATAACTCAAGAATATTCCTAGTAACTTCACACACTCATTCCCCTTCAACAACTGGAATAAAGCAAAAACCGTTGCTTTTGCGGAATAAGATAATACCATCGTTTATTTCTCTAACTGTGTATACAAACTTACACGTATCTACGGTAGCAGTTACATTGGGAAAATAGAAAGAAGGACACACCTTTGATTTTCTGAACATGTACCGAAAAGCCTACGTCTCAAGGGAGCAAACGTTTTCAATAGTTCCATTGTCGGACATCTCGTCGATATGGGTTATGAGGTGGACACTATAAAATTATCAATAGACAAAAGAGCTCAAGTTTGCCGAAGCAAACGCCTGAAACCTGATTTATGTGTTGAGAAAGAAGCAGATATCAGTCTTCCCTCGCCCTGATATCTGGAGGTTTCTACTCTCTTTTATTTAATTGCGTAATCCTTGGCTTTAACCTCTACCCCTTCACTACAAACATAATTTTGCTTGTCTGTTGTTTCTATGATTCGAGTTGAGTTCACCATATTGTTACTCAACTTATTAATTACTCATCATCTTATTCACCTCTTGTATTTATTACGCAACTCCTTTGCCATTGAATCCAAGCATTTGCTTTTTTGTCTAAATTGAACTTGAAGCAACATAAGTGTAACTTCTGAGCACTGCTTATTAAGTTTGCAGTCTCCTGTCAACTGACATCATGTAACACTTGCAAGTATGTTAAAATTGTCCTGTACGTAAACTTGATAATTTCTTTAGGCTGTACGCAACTGATTAGAAGCCAATGTAATAAACGATGGCATCATCTCATCCTACACAAACTGTCTACCTTGTTTTATTGAAATATTCCCAGTCTTAATGCATTTGTTTGTTGCTAGTTGAATCTTATCATCCACACAAGTTTCGATGTAATACATCACTTGAATAAGTTATCTTCAATTTCGGGAACCAACACATGATATAAAAGGGAATTAATTGATGTAAACCACTCAAATGATATTACCATTTTAGGCTCACAGAAAAAAACTCTGACGAAGTTCAAGTTGGAAGTCGTCGTTAGGTATTCTCTGTGCTTTATTTTTGATCGTGGATATTACATCAGCACTAGCTTCATCAAGTATCTATAAGTCTTCTTAACACCCTTGGCAAAGGTTTGATACGTGTTCCATCTACTGAATTGAAGATGATGCTACATGACTGGTCGACATAAATATAACATTTCACTTCAGATGGGAGAGTGGTCAAAATCAGTGACCACTTCATTTACTTGAGAACTTGAATAAACATTAATCTGCTTCGGTGGATCAATGGTAGAATGCTCGCCAACCACGCACTAGTGTGAGTTCAGTTCCCGGCCGACGTACTCCTAAACTTCGCTTAGTTGGTAAATGGGGAAAATTGGGTATGAGACTAGCAAAATCCATCCAGTAAAAAGAAAACACCACTCCTACTGAAACTTCAAAGGTCAACCTTGGAGCCCTGTGTTCCATTCAGAATGAAAAGGAAATTAATACAAATAATTGTTGGTAACGAAATCTTACTGTTGATACAAATTACTTCATCTCTCGAGAAGTCACTCATACAACGAGTTCGCAGCGTAACGTTTCGAGTCTATTTTATGTCTGAGATACCTCTTTTTATTAATAAAACACTTGATGGAATCAAAGAGGGAATAACGTGACGATTGGATCGTTAGAAGGCCACCACAAGCATATGAGTTATTTATCCTCAGTGGTGTTAGCTGAAGTTTTATCAGGTTAGAAAAACTCAGAAGTGACTGAAACAAAACATAGCAGCAATATTCTATGAAGTCTTCAACTGTTAGGGGAATGGGCTGTTTTACTGAAATCAAAGATTTCTAACAAACAATGATTGCGGAAGCTTAGTTACATTGTAACAACAGAAGACAAGGGCCAGGCAACAGATTGTTTATTAATGAAATCAACACATATTTATAGATTTTCATGTACATTATTATAGATTATTGTTAGCAGACAAACACAGTCTTCTGATTGGTTGTTTCTCACTGAAAGTTAATCTTTCATCTCTTTGTGTCTGTTTCTTGAATGTCAGATCATCTATATGCTAACTGTATCCGCCTACGCAAAGTCTTTGTTCATATTTTTCTCACGACCAATATTTGGGACATAAACATTGACGTAAATTAATGTCTACCCATTTGGCTAGCAGCCAGCTCTCACCACAACATGATTAGGATATTTCTACTCTGTGAGTTTCTAAATGGGCTTAGTTAGTATTGGACTTTTCACCAGTGGGTCACACCTCTCATATATTTCACCTCTTATGAATGAGTGTAGTTCTTAGCCCGGTATACCATTTTATATCTACTCACTTGACTAATTGTGGTTTCGACGTAAGGGAGTTTATTATTGTGCAAATTTCCACCCTGACGTGTTCTTTTCCAACACTTCTTATTTTGAGCCACGAGTTGAGTACAGTTAAGCAATAATTTTAGTTGAGCACTAATCACTATTCAACATGATGACCTACTGACTGAAATTTCAGAGTGAGATTCGGTTATTTTAAAGGGTTTTATCAACACAACACCTCCAAGAAGTGTCTTTACATAATACAAAAGTGCGTATGTGAATAAAACCATTCACACATAACTACAAGGTCATTCTTTAAATGAATGTCTTCTTATTCATTCGTTGTTTTATCGCACTCTGAATATTTGGAGTAGTCTATCAAAAATGTAAACTGATAGTAATCAGGAGTTGAAAAAGTCACATCAACTTGGATGGATTTATCAACATGAAATTGTTTTGATCATAGATGTCTACGATCTCTTTCTCACGTTAAGTGGTATAATAAGGTAAGTAATGTTGACGTTAGGCGTAGAGTGTTGGCTGCAAAGAGGGAAAATCAATCGAAGAGGCTATAAAGTTACATAGATTGAGATGGCTAGGTCACGTGCTGCGCATGCCTAACCATCGCCTCCCCCGACGGGCATTACTAGCTGATATAGGTAGGTGCAGGTTGGAAAAGAGTAAGTGGTGGCCAAACAAAAACATGGCATCAATCCATGAAATCCTTGACAGTTAAACTGAGTCAGGTAGGGAGATGCAGACTTCCGGGTTGGGGCCCTCGGGACTCTAAGAATCAATGGCTGGAGACAATAGGTGACATGGCTCAAAATCGTTGTCAATGGCTTACGCAGATGTATTCAGTCTCTGTAATCTTTCGTATTCCTTTCTACCATTACTCATTCTGTTTCACTCTTATAATTGTCAAAACTCTATTGATTCTCTTCACTCATTTTCTTGTCTACCTTTGTGTGCTATTTGGAACGTGGCAACTCGAACTGCTGCACTTCGGTGCCAAGTTCTATGTTGAATCCAGACAGACAGACAGACTATGAAATAGATTACACATTAGATTATTGTTTCTATAATGTACACTTTCATCTTTGCAACTTTTTTAATTTCATTTTTCATCAAATAGTACTCTTTCCGGATGAAGCAACAAAAAGTTTATGCTGTTGGGATTCTCGTAATGCTGACAGACAACGTTTACTAGCGCTAAGTAAGTTTAATTATTATTAGTAGTATTATTAGTTTAACACTTCAGTACTTATTTACACTGTATGTAATACTCTTTCTTCGAAATTATTCAGTGTTGAAGTTGTTAGGTTTCATGAATGTACAGGTGTTTTCAAATCATAAGAAAAATCTATAGTTATTTTCACACTTGCTCTCAAGGCATCAGACGCGGTGTCGAAAGCCAAAATGTGCAGATCTCGGAGTAAGCAACTCGTTAAAAGCATGACCCATAAGCTTAGTCCAGCGTTTTGCTATGAGATACACAGTCTTTTAGTGTTAATATACAATAAATATAAAAGAGATGCCAACAAAACAAACCATCTCTAGTGGTTAGTGAAGGCTACGTAGTAAGTACTAGGAATGATAAGTTGAACTCGACGTGATCATTAACCTCTATCCGACTAGTAATGATGGCGAACATACATCCACACTAATTTGTGTATATAAATCCGCGAAAGTTAGTTAATACAAACTGATTATATAGGGATAGTGTCTGTGGAAGTTGCGGTTTCAATTCCCGGACGAAACGCTGCTAAACCTCGTCTATTTTGCCAGTCTAGAAACCCACACACACACCCCGCTGCTGGAACTTCACAGTTTAAAGCTGTATGTTCCATCTGGAGCATATGAAATGAGAAACTCAATTCCTGTTAACTTTTTACACTTCATTATAAATTATTTCAGTTACTTGTAAGCATATTTTACTAACGAAATCGTACTACTTAAATCTTATTGGTTACTTTCTTTTCTCATTAGATCACAACGGTCCAATCAGATGTTTTGTTCACTCACCAACAACAGCAGCATTTATGTCATGTAGTGATGATAATCGGGCAAGATTTTGGTATAAACGCCCTATATCAGATTAAGCTTTGCATACATATATAAATGTTATACATCATCACTATCAAATAAACAATTTTGTTTTGTATAGACCGGAGTTCTGTTTTGTTTTGATATTATCACTCAGACTAATAAACAACAATATGTATGAGATGATATGTTTGTGTAAAGCTAGTAAATTTATTCAATCTATTTAAATAATAATAATGAAAGTGATAATGTGTGTAAAATTGCTTGTACACATAAAGCTAAAGAAACAATGTCTATTTTGATTACCTAATTGTGAAGCTGACAAAAGCAAGATATAAGATAAATGTTTGATAATAACTATATAACTCAAGGAAGGGAAAAACAGAGTTGTGTTGTTTAACCAGCATGTCGATTAACTTTTCGTGATGATTCAACATGCAGAGGTAAATTATACTTTTTCCAAACAGAACACAATGAATCGACTAGTTGTTCAGTTAATTGATCTGTATGATGCGGCGTAGGTGCAATGCGTAAACGTTCATCGCCAATATCCACTGTTGGATAATTTATAGATTGTACATAGATATTGTGTTCCGATAATAACTCTTCAGATATTTTTGTGCACAATTTTGCTTCACCAACCTGTTATAACAAGAAGAACAGAAAAAATACGAAACTGATAATTACTTCATTCAACAATTTTTGAGTAGTTGAAAATTTTTTTAAATAATGAAAATAAAATAGAGTACCCCACCAATGAGTAGCTTCCTATTCTTAAACATTTGCAGGTGAGTTAATGTATATGTAAGCAGTGCGTAACTGCGATTGCGCCTTTCAAACCTACCTGTTTAACGTTCAGAATTAGTATAGCTGACTTGAGAATATTAGCTTTGTTTCACCAGACGTTTAGCATTAAATAGGTTTATTGGTTTGATCAAGGGGTGGCGTCAATTAGAGAACCAGGGAGTATCGGACAGTGGTCCCGTCCTAATTTGGGACTCTTTAGCAGTATGGGATTTGAATCCAGGACCTTCCGGTCACAAAGCGAGCTCGAAGACTATTCAACCACTAGGACCCCATCCAATAGCCATCACATTAATTCGAACTCCTGCGAATTCACGATACATATAGCGCAACCATCAGCCAGTATCATAGGCGAGTAACTTTTCTCTTACATGACCTGGTGGATCCCGCTGATCATGAGCCATGGGGTCAACTCCCGGTGGCTGGATGGTCTACGAACTCGCCTTGTAACCCGAATGTCCTGGGTTGTATCCCTGGCGAAGTGATGGACGCGTGGTGGTGAAGAGTCCCGAACCAAGACGAAACAGATGTCCAGTACTTCCTAGTTTTCCAGTGGTTCTCTCACTGACGTCAGCTCGTGATCAAACCTGTTTGCGATTCCCTGCAAACGGTCAGTTGATAAACAGGTTTATAATTTTAAAACATGTGGAAGAAAGCTAAAGAGAAAATTTTACTGGTCTGCATTTGAAGAAACCAACAAAAATCGAATTTCTGTTAAGGATCATCCAGACTCTGTCTACTACACAATTAATCTAATTTTCGGAGAAAATTTGAATTTCTTTTTCGCATTCTTTTTGTGCCATGGCTCGCGATGTCGTTATTCGTACTTATTTGAAGAATCCTTTTTCCTTTAAGTAATAAATCAATTACATTACAGATAATGAGTGTGTGCGACATGTGGAAATAATAAAGAATAGTGAGGATTGTAGTAGCATGACATTTAAAAGCATACTTCTAACTTGTTTCCACTTTCTTTTGCTGTGAATAGTGACATTTAAGTGCTATTAGTTTCTACCAATAGTCCACAATAACTCTCATTGCCTTTAATGACTAGTTAATATAAGGAGCTTACATGTAATGGAATAATATGCGAAGGTGCTTCTATCACAGGTAAACCTTCTTCACGAAGCCTTTGACGTACAACAGATACCCTTCTTTGGTGTTCTGCACGAAGTTCTCTGCCTTCAGAAGACTTTAAAATTTGAATGGTAGCCCGTGCAGCAGCTAAAGAATGTGGTGGTAATGATGTAGTGAATATAAATCCAGAAGCATAAGATCGAATCATATCGACGAGTTCAGAGCTTCCAGCTAAATAACCACCAACACTAGCAAAAGCCTGAAATATAAAAAGTAAACAGATATAACTGGTAGTAAAATCAAAAAAGTATATAACAAATGGAAAAGTGATAGAATACTACCCGATTTCCCTATGCAATAATAGTAATAATAAAACAAATTCGAGTTACATCTTGCGTCGGTGATTCAATGATAGAGTACTCGCCGACCACTCCTCATATGGTGCGGTGTTTGATCCCTAGCTGATGCACTCCTTCGCCCCACCTAGCCAGTATTAAACTGAAGATGTTTGGAGCACAATTTATTGCTCATAACCATATCAAGGTGCTAGCTCACGTAACTTCTTCAGATTTTGTTTATATAATTCTATTATTTCCTATTCGTTGATTCTATTGATCATATCCCTGGTATCGACGTTGCATCATTCCCATTAGACGTGTTGGATGTAGATTCAATGAACACGATATTCAGTGATCAACCTCTTCCGCCACCTACTTAACTTTTAAGAACTGTAGAGCTCTATCCCTACATTGTTGTGTGTTGTGTTAGGAATTCACTGACAAAAATTCACTGCACATCATAATACATGGATAATCACAAAAGCTCCTTTCCTCGTAGTATCAACCGGAATTGTAACAACCAGAAGTTATACACTTCTCAGGACAGTTCTCCATCAACTATCTGGAACTAGCAGTTTAAGTCTCTACGATTGTATATTAGGTAACTAAAGCTATAAAGAATTTTAAAATGTCTACTCTGAAGAAGTCAGATACAAATAATCGCATTTAAAACAAGTATTTCAGTTGTGTTGTATCCACACGATATTGCCACTCTGCATAACAGATAGACTAACTAAAACAAATAATATCTACCTTAATACAAAGCTAGACATACCTTTCCAAGTGTACCCGTAATTGCATCTATCCTGTGCATTTGTCCATCACGTTCAGCAACTCCAGCTCCATGTGTACCATACAAACCGACAGCATGCACTTCATCAACAAATGAGAGTGCTTTATTGGCCTCAACAACATCCAATAGGCCTTTCAATGGGCAAACATCACCTGAAATAATACCAAAATTATGCACAATTTCCAATCAGATCAAGCAAATAAATTGTAAAAAAATGGAATATCACACTAACAATAAGTATGAAATTCAGCTAAAAAAAGTTGTTCAAAGACATGATTGTTTAACAGAAGCCCATAAAATATCAGCTACTTATAGTGCTCGCTAGCCCAGGGACGGGATGGAAAGGCGGAGAGGTGGTCAGTCCATGACGTGACGTCGTGGGATGAAGGATATTTGTGCTAGAATAGCACCGGTTGGTGCGTCACGAATCCCTGGTTGGAGTCTGAGAGACAGTAGCTCGAAACGTTATCGGATATGGCCAAGAATCGTAATCAATGGCGAACGTGTTGCAATTTCCTTCTTTATTCCCTTCCCGATGATAGTTGATGAATGCTGTTTTAACTTGTTAAATATGACTGTTTTCCTTTCAGATGAAGTTCTTTATCCGTTCTCCACCCATATTTTTACTTTTAATCTATGTTGTTTTATTATTGTTGTGTGGCGCATCTTTTTGGTGCCATATTGTACCAAGTTTTTCTGCGTTTAAATAAATATGCTTACCTACCCATCTAATAGACACTATTTCAAATGAGATTCATCTTTCATACCACGAAAATCGATAGTAACAGATAACAATCACAGCTCTAAATCAATTTCCCAGTTGACTGATAGATTCCAACGCAGACTGTAAGCTGGGGGGAGTACCATTAATTACTCATGGTAGCTAATCGTAAAATAGTTGGTAAACTTACCACCTACGGGATAGATGCAGTTGACTTATGCCAGTAATAACTGTTGCTTTAAATAATTAGTATTTCCTCAATCTGTAGGTATGTGCTACATGCTTCTTATGGTGTTCATCAATCGTACATTTCACCAGCGTCTACACTTGATGGTGTGTCACAAAAGCTAGTTAAATACGTTTGCCTACTATCGATCTAGAGGACAAAAGAAACTATTGGTATATATTAAAAATTACATTACTAAAATAACCTTTAACACTTATTTTATTTTTATTGTGTAACACTATGAATTCCTGCTTCATGTCAATGTTTTGAAATTCCAATCCTTAGAAATTTGGTAGGATGTATTACTCACTGCCACAAAAGCTGGATTTTCAAGTGATGCATTCCGAGTTCATTCGATCTACTTCAATTTGTGCAAACAGTCAACAGTGATTACTCATAACTTAATGCTGCAACCTGTACTGCGTCCTATTTTATCAAATGGAACCTCCTTAACCTTAAACAGCATATGGGTAACACTAAGCTACAATGGCATTACCGAGTATAATTCAGATTACTATTATTCAACTTTGAGATGTTATCCAAAAAGCTTCAACGGTGAACACTGTTAGCAGATTCCGTAGGAATACGAAAGAGACACTTAGTTCATTGTCACCTATTTGTAAATTGTCTACTCAAATAGGACTTCAAGTTTTCCTATTTAATGGTATACACAGTAGCTAGATTGATACGAATTTCTCAATTATATGACACACACAAAATTACCTGACATAGAGTGCACTGTTTCAAATGCAACTAATTTCGCTGAACTCCTAGGAACAGTTGAAAGTAGAGAAGACAAATGTTTGATATCATTATGCCTATAGATAACTTTTGGACAACGACTAGTTCGAATCCCATGAATCATTGATGCATGATTCCCAGCATCAGAGAATATTGTTAACCCTGGTATACGAGTCCCGAGAGTATGCAATGCAGCTTCATTAGCCACATAACAACTTGTAAAAACTAAAGCTGCAGGTTTTCCATGCAAATCTGCCAATTCAGCTTCTAGTTCTTCGTGTAACATTGAATTGCCAGATATATTACGTGTACCACCAGAACCAACACCATGCTTCCGTATGGTGGAACTGAAAAAAAAAAACAACAGAAATAGGAATGATCGGCATTATGTGTAAAGTGATGCGAATGCAAAGTATGACTCAGGAAAGATATACGTTGACTTCAAATATAGATCATACTCTATGCAATCATTCAGTATTTCTACTAAATCACAAAAATATACATTTAACTTAGTTAGACTAACAAATTAAACCTCTGAAACGATCATGGTATAGTCTACCTTACAACACATATGTTCGTGGTAAGACAATGATAATATTTAAGAAGTATCTAGGAAATGGATGATCCTCTAGTCACATTTTACTAGCTAAAAAACGAGGACACACACACACAATCCCATGTTAGTTTCTCTATTTAATTTGCCCCCATAAATGACCTGGTACAGTCGAGGGTGAATAGACTTTCGTCTTTCTCTCGAAATGCTCTCATGTGGTCACGTGTTCATAGCCTCTGCGAGGTAAGTCTTATTTATTGCCTCAGAGAGGCGGGGGTGTTCTTTACAAAAGTAAAAAGGGGGATGCGAACATCTGGCGCCTACAACCGGACTAGTGGATACGCAGGTCTGCCTAGGGGAGCTGGAAAACCCTGGTCCCAAACCTATAGTATATATGGGCTCCAGAATTCAAAAGGATCGAATGGCGTATAAACCTGTTTGTTAGATGTCCTGACGCTGAAATGCTGCCTTGTAGACCAGACTTTAAGAAAAAGGTTCGTAAGGTGGCTCTTTCAGAAAAACAACTGCTTCAGTCTGTGTGTCCGGGTAGTATCCCACTCCTCACAAAAACTATTTGTGTAGCGCATCTCTTGCTGTCAAAATTATAGCAAGTTTGTGCTTTTAATAATAATGATAATTTTTTTTTAATTTAGCATTTAATGATGTAGTATTAGTTGAACGAGGTTTCCAATACAATTTTCTGCTCATCAACTCACCAAAGTAATTACATCCCTGAAAAACTTTTCATCATTCCACACCTCATATTTTTCTTTCATCTTTTCTTATTATAGTACAGGTTTTAAGATATCTCCAGTGTTTGCTGAATCACTCTTGAAGCATACACATTAAACGTTGATTCAGTGCACAAGCTGTAAAGTCTAACACAGTTCGGTGGAGGCAAGGATTGATTATTTCATACTAGCTTATCGAATCAATAATACTCTTCTAATTGAGTTTACAAAGATAGATACTGACATCCTCAAAATATTCAAATGACAATACTGTTAAGTGAAAGCATTTTATGGACACAGAAATTTCTAAGAATTCATTAAAGACCAGTGTCCTGTAATGTGTTTTGACAGTATCTACTGAAATAATAAAGTGCTTCGGTCAATTCATGAAGGATCATTATATTCTAAATATTAGAGCTGGCCAATGTTTATAAATTTTGGCGTTTCGTTTTATATTATCTACTCGATATGCAGCAATCCCATGTCATATGCTTACCACCATGTTTATCTTTTTCAATGTTATTCTCAATGAGGCTACACTGATAAACATTCATGAAGACAAATGACTTAAGAATTATTATCATACATACTAAAGATGCATATGACTTACATCGCCACTTCTTGAACTTTTGGATGCCAACTCATGCCTAGATAATCATTGGAACACCATACAGCTACACGACGCTTTACACCAGTTGAATAATCATCTGCAAACGGGAATTCCGCTGCATCTCTTAAAATTCTCCTGAATACTCGATAGGTAGAATCTTTCTTTTTCTTTTCCACTTCAGATGCAAAAAATTTATTATACTCGAAACCTGGATCATCATTATCATTCGATTCAAATAATTTTAAATCTTCACTAGCAATATTTCTTGACTGTACTGTTGGCTTTAAACATCCCTTGTCAACCATACTTTTACGCCAGCCAGCAAACAAAGCACATGTATTGGGAATAGACATTTCTACAAAGAATGTCAAATGTGGATGAGATATTTTAATATTCAACAATAAAATACATACAATATAAAAGCATAACAAACTTTACCTATAAAGTTTTGTAAATTTGATGTTGTGATGCATTGATGTAGCTACGTAACGACGGCTTGTCATGAATACCATATATCCTAGCTACCTCGATCCATCAAGTTCAGCGACATCGGCAACCAACTTACCCTTCTTAGAAAACATTGCGCTTATACTAATTATCACTTTGACCAATCTTACACGAGAGATTGGAACAATGTACTTGCGTTAAGAAACTGGGTGTTTCACATCCATTAGGTAATACAGAGTGAACTGCTGCACAATACATGTTCTTTGATGGATAGATGGATATGAGGCTTGTACCAAAAGTGAAGCAAGTTAGCAGATGACCAACAAGCCTCTTATGTTAACCTATCACTAGTTTATCAAGACAAATACAACTTCCAAAATAGGCGAATTGTTTAACATATTCAACCATTTCGCTCCTTACGCTCAAAATACGGGTCTACGTTGACCAGTCTCATAGCATCACCTTAAATTTGACAGGTACGCTATAAAAGTTAAATATAATGAGTTCTGTTTATGTGGTTCAGAAGAGCTTCCATTATACCAGAATCCTCACCAACCACTTAAGTGGAATGATAATACCTAGAATCAAAGCAGTCGTTTTAAAGATAACCACCCCACCCTGAGATTCCACTGTGCTTTCATTTAGAAACGAAAATGTCCACACTGAGAATAGATTTATAGTAGCGAGAGGATAACAGTTCTTGACATGGGCACCTACTCCCACGGGAAATCATGACGGAGTCTAACCAGTAATTGTAAATCTTTTAAACACTTGCTTTGGATAAACGTGAAAATCAACGACTTATATGGTTTATCTGTGGTCAGAAGGGACATGATTTAAAGTCAATTCAAAGAAATACTGCGCCACATAAACCCACTCCCTAAGTTAAGTAATTCTTTGAAACTCAATATTATATAACGTAAATTGCATCGCACTAAGAACTTGTAATGATAGTAGAAACATGTGCAAAAACTCCTGAGAAACAGTAGGAAGAGGGATTTGGAGGAGACAGGTCAGTAACTTCAAAGATTTTAAAAATCAGCATTCATGATGCTAGTTTAACGTTAGCAACCACCAGCTTAGCTTCATAAAATAAAGCAATACGTGTTTTAACCAGTTATTGATCGAGGTGTACATAAAATTTCTCCGACCACAAATTTATTCTTTATCACTAATAATCTCAATTTAAAATTAACTATTTTCAACCTACCATTTGAAAAACCACCTGAATGGTCATGAGACCTTTCACAGTCGTAACTGTTAGTGGTTTGCGAGCACGAGTGAGACTCTGAGCTTCCTAGTTCACTTGAATTGAGAGTGTACGGACATTTTTTCAAGAGACATTCTGAAACATTCTCTGAAATAAAAAAATATATAACAACAGTATTAGTGAATGGGTGTGAAGAACCAAACAAGTAAGTTGAAGCAAACCCAGCTACCTAAGTAATTAGACGTGAAGCATAACATCTATTATTTGTTGATGTTAACTGGTACCTACTATAAGTACCAACCTAACTAAATAGAATTAATGGTTATGAGCCCTCTTGCAAATTATATATATATATATAGAGAGAGAGAGAGAGAGAGAATCTGAAAGATAATCTCACCAAAATAAGTAAAACATAATTGGGAGTTAATAGCATGATAAGGATGTCACACGAATTAATTACAACTAAAAGCCGTTGTAGTTTTCACTTAGATCATGGAACAGATTTTTGTTTTCCAGGTTATGAGCCACAATAACAGCAATGTGACGGCTGGTAATACTACCCAACTGCCCACGCTGAAGTAGGCGGAGTAGGATTCAAACGCATGACACTGCCTGAGTTGAATGTCTAAGCCAATGAGCTACACAATATTATATATAATCTTTTGAAATTAACCAGCCTCCAAGAGCAATATAACAAACATTTAAACTGAATTTGGATTATTAAGTTATCAGAAACAACTGACTCCAAACTTAAACTTACTGCAAACCAAGGACTGATTTGAATGAGGCTCTGAGGCGACAGTCGAACACATCCTGGTACTGCAGAGTGGAGTTCCAGCAAACAAACGGCTTGCGAAGGGACATTTCGGTATCAACTTTATCAACTGTTGAACATCCCTCTGAATCACAGTAGGAGATAACTTGCGTAAGAAGGGGCAGGATGTCATGTTCTAATCTAGAAAAAATCAACGAAAAATATCACTAATAGTTTAATGACTGCTTGTTAATGAAAAAAGAACTAATATGAGTACCAAACTGTAGTGCTACAAGTTACTTATGGTGATTGGTGAAGACCTCTCAAATGCAAAAAACATCAATTTCGACAAGTGATTGTGGATGACCAATGATATTGTGAAAAACAAAGCTGCCAAATAACTCTTAAGAACCGTACGCTGCGACTAACCGGATGAGAAGTTGAAGTACTCTTTTCACGAAGTTTGAAGATGTGTACACACCAATCAACTGTTAATCAATGAGCAGCTTACAGGTCAATTCATACACCTGAAAAACACTGCTTAGGAGAATTTAATCTAGCTTGTTTCTCCTAGTGTTGGTGTGATAGCTACCTCAAAGTTGGATTGTTAAAAAGAGATCCATGTCGAATGTAGAAGTCGCAAGCCCTTTAACATTAGTAGTTCAGCTTCGGAACAAGTTACCATTATGTGGTGATATTTTCACTAAAGTTACATCAAAAACGTACTTCAGCTGGAAACCTAAGTTTAGTGCTAACAATAGTTTAGGCCTTCATAAAATATGGTCAACTAATTGTAGGTAACGATTAGACCTGTTTCTAAAGCCAGAGCAATTTTGAATACCACCACAGCTAGATTAGGCAACAATCACATCCAAAGTAATTAATTACTGGAAAAGATCACTATCTGGTAACTTTATACATGGAACATTAATGCAGTCACACGGAAGCTTCTCAAAATAAATCGCCTTATATATACATTAATCTAATGCACGAGAACTTCACTTAAACAGTCAAGGAAAATGACTGAAGTGTTTTTATTCAAATTCGATCAATCCGAAACAAAATACGACATGATAATCGAAAACAAGACAATTCAAAAACCCACCGAAGTCACCTAACACGTATACCTCGTTGATTAATGGTGGCGCGAAACCTTGGATTATCTCATGAATTGGTACACTTAAACAAACCCTAAACTTGTCGTCTAAGTGTAGAAGGACCGATTTATTTCTGTCCAACGTTTACATCTTCTAGTGTGTTTATAACCACTTCCGCCCATAGCTGATCACGATAATTAATGACTTCCAGCTATTTATAACGAGGCGATATCACTCGATCGCGCTGAAGTGGAAAAATTCATATTTGTCCTTACTGAGCTTAATATAGCGAATCTTGTGAAGTAAATTTCTTATGCAGGAGAGAGCAGCAAGGTATTCATAATCTTTTGCTACATGTGGAATCGTAGTACAACTAGATGCGCAATAGTATATATACGAATAAACTGAAAAATAAGATTTCAGATTCAGATTTATTGGTTGAGGATAGAAGGCTTGGAGCCTATGTTAATCCTTTTCTAGTAAATTTCTGCGGTTGTTCAAATCCTTCTTGAACGAATCAGTTGAGGTTGCAGACACCACTTCTTCTGGGAGTTGGTTCCAAGAGTTTATGACTCGGTGTGAGAACCAGTACTCAACAGCAATATGATTTCTTCTTGGCTTTTGAACTCTCCTGCTATGTCCTCTAAGGTGTTCCGACCTGGTGGGAAGGAAAAGAGAGAATACGTCAGGTCCGTAGTCATTATTTAAAACTTTTTTAAGGGCAAAAGATTATGAATACCTTGCTGCTCTCTCCTGCATAAGAAATTTACTTCACAAGATTCGCTATATTAAGCTCAGTAAGGAAAAATATGAATTTTTCCACTTCAGTGTTGTGAGTTAATTTGTGAACTGTGTAGGCCCCTAAAGTAATGCATTTGGCATGGATGCTTCATAGTGAAATCAGGAGTGTGCATTTTGTACTAAATCTTCTGCGCTTTCTGTATGGATTCTATATTCATCAAGTGGCCATTTAACAACTGCTGAATGTTGCATGCGATCAAGCTAAAATTATAACTGGTAATTCCAAGAATTGTTGTCATTTTCATTGGCAGCAGTTCACAGCCTATTGAGTTTACACAAGTAAAATACCCATTTCTCACTTTACTGAAGAGACATTAACTAGGATTCTGGAAAAGTAGTACGTCAGTATGTGAATTTCATGAATCTGTAAATTGAATTCCATTCACTTAATATTGAAACTAAACTATGAGGGAACTGATATTTCCAAGAAGGATATAATACAAGGCTCATTTCTACAACTGTCGTCCTTATTTTAGTTCACTTTCATCGTACATTTATTAATAGAATTGTTGGTCATTCACTTTGGGGACTTACCGTGGAACAGTTTCGACAAGTTAGCGTGTGCTGATGATATCGTCCACTTATGCTGTGAGAAGTGACCATTGAAACTGGAAGATATGAAAAGACTACTGGGTTTTGGTCATAGTGCCTGTGCCCTTTCTTCTGTGTTAAGCAGTCTAATATGGTAAGTAATATTGGGGTTAAGCTTAGTATAAGTAGAAATGTGAGTCCAAACGTTGTTAATGACACAGATGCATTCACTCCGTGTTATTTCACATATCTGAGCAACCCTTATGTTTTTTCCAACACATTTATGCTTCTTAGCGTTCCATTTAATTTCTTTTTTCTCTACCTTTGTGTGCTACATCGAATGTGATAACTTAAACGGGTGTATTTGTGTGCCAGCTTCTATGTTGAAAGTCAGTCTGTTAGAATGATCTATAGTCCAGGTATAATGAAATGCTAAAACGTTGATAAAAATAAGCGAAATGTCAACAAATGATAATCGCATTTTTTCATTTGGTTCTTGTCTAACTGAAAAAAGAGTTATCCTACGGTAATTTCTCCACTTACGCGAGATAACTCTCGCAATCTGTCTCGTTATATCTCATGAGTCAGTTTACTCTTTCCCGTAGCCCAAATACGAAGTCGAAACACATCTGATGAAATACGTTTTGCTTATTACAAACTAAATATAATGTCAAGGAACTTAGCTTTAAGTTCCTATTGTAACAAAGACGCTTGGAACCGATAAAGACTATGTATTTGTTTCAACTTTAAATCCAAAACACCAGTATTCCTTGATCGAATTTAGATTGATTGGGAATTAAAGTGAAGACAACTACAAAGTCTACAAACAAATGTTTAGTACAAATGAAGTTATAAAGTACTCTTATTCGTGTTCTTTCCGCCTTTCTCCAACTTGCACGCGATCGTACCATTCGCGCCTTCGAGTTGCCCACCAGTGGCTGCCAGTTCCAATAAACGAACTTTCAATGTTCACGTCCATTGAGACTCCCCGGCAAAAAAGGGTCCATCTCTTTTTTCCACAGCGGTGGTAACCTTGAACTGAACTGCTAATGCGAGAACCTGGGCCAATCGGGACTAGGCTAAAATGGAAAAGCAATACAAAAAGCCCAACACACAACAAGCATACCACATCACACCGACACGCTATCCCCGGCGCGTGGGATCTACGCTCTCTGACGACAGTGCCACCACTGATCTGGTTCGCAAAGTATTGGTTGCTTCATTCCACTCTAGCCCAATCCTCTCCCCGGCGTATCCAATCGCGTACGCTGACTCTAACACTACTCGATTCGCTCACAAGTTTACCAGCGAATTCAGAAGTACTTACAAAGACATTACAAGATGATTCACACAATGCGATAACTATAAAATTAACCAACAATCAGATGAGTCGGAACCCACTCAATTACTTAACACAAATATATGTACAATCAATATATCAAATGTTGTGGATTCTGCCTTGACGAGCTACTCTTGAAGAACTTTAGGACTTACGGCAGTACGCCTACATTTCTTCTCAGGTTGACTATCCAAGTGGAAGACGTCCGGACACAAATAAAATTAATCAACAGATAGAAGAGGGATGATACCAATTAAGTATATACAACATGAACGTATGTGCAAAATAATACACCAAGTACGATGGACTGCTCTTCGACGTACTACCCTTGAAGAATTGTAGTACTTACAGCAGTACGCCTACAACCCTCCTCAGGTTGACGCCCTTAAGTTGGAAAATCGTCGTTGAGTTCATTTGCTGACCTCCTTCCATCATCTGAATCCTCAACTCTGAATGGTAACACGCCCGTGACATTGTATCGTGGAATGTAGATGACTAACAAACATACGACGTATCTCACCAACCAAGCGAAGGCACTGAGTAGTTTGCACCAAAGATAATAACATTCAAATAGTAGTTTGAAGCCAGAAATGCCTTTATTCGTGCAAGTCAGTCTAACAGTTACTCTCTTGTACACAGTTGGCTTATCGTCCCTTCGAACGGACCGACACTAGCATAATCACTGCATAAGACACGTGGGTTCATGGACGGCTCTTTTACTGCATATGACAACACCAACGACGACTGGCTGACACCAGTTGATGAACTTAGCGGTGTATCAGAAGCTGTTATTATTAGACCTTTAGGAAGTTGTCTAACCGCAGGATTACCACCACTGCTATCTTTTATTATTAGCTCCAGTTCAGCTTTAACATCTGTCGATAATTGGGCTACACTCGGATCATTTACATTGACGGTCTCACTAGTATCCATACCTTCTGCAACCGCATCTGCCCTTAATTCTACTTCACGTTCAAGTTGTACAGAACCTTTAGTCAACTCAGTAGTAGTAGTAGATATTCCACTAATCTCATCATGATCAGCCACAGACAAATGTGAACTGTCGTGAGCATTGTCACAAATACCCACTTTACCGCCGTCTGTATGATAGACTTCATCATTTTCAAACTCTCTAATAACAGCCGTAGATGACTCAGGTTCTTCCTGATGAATCCTTAAAGGTTTTATTCCTTTACTCTGACTAGTAATACCTTGTAAACTTGTGGAGTCAGAACTGGACACTGAAACTGTAACCCTCTTCTTATGCACAAACTGCGATGTCGTCTGAGACACTCTTTTCAACAATGGATTACCAGTTACGACTACAGGCTTCTTCACCGCACCATTATCGTCACACGATTCGGAGTCAGAACACGATGACGCTTACTTCACATTTAGCTTACCACTAAACTTGCTCATTGCTTCACAGTTCGCCTTTGTATGCACTTCTTGCAAACGGACGAAGCACAACGTGTTTGTCTTGCAGCTTGTAACTTATCCGTTGGGGACGTCCCACTAAAGTTGTCACAATCATTAGGTTTACTAAACACCATACAGCTTTCTCGATATCCACTACGCTGAGATCCCTTCGTCATAAATGATTGCATTTTGCTCTCTGATTTCTCTATTCCAGGGGTAGGATGCAGTATACTAGCAAACTTGCTCAAAGCTTGGTTGACACTGTCTTTCACCAGGCTCACAATGTCATCCAACCCGGGCTCTAAACCCTCCTCCTCTAGACGTGAACAAACCTTTATGAACTTCCTTTGTAGACGAACAGGTAATCTCTTGGCAACAGTTTCAAGCACGGAACTTGAGTTCAATTCATCTACGCAGTTAAGAGACATGAGTGTATTTCTATATACCATCAAATTATCCAAGAACTCTGCAAGTCCCTCTGGATTATCGTTTAACTGTGATCCATTACCTTTCACTGTCTCGAAAATACTACGGGATATCATAAATGGTTTTCCAAACCTTTGACGTAGTATCTTCATTGCCTCAGTATATCCTTCGTTCGGGGGGCATAAACTTGCAGCACTGTATGGCTCTTGCAGCCACACCAGTGCAATATCTCAACAAATACATTAACTTCATTTCATCATTTAATACAAAACCACTCAGCATGACCTCAAACTCTTTGATGAACTGTGGGTAGTCGGCTGGGTTTCCATCGAAGTATCGCGGTTCAAACTTAGGCAATCTTAAGCCCTTACTATCACTTAACGGTGAAGCGTGAACATCAAACTCAAAATGCTGAGCATCATACATATCATTACAATTAACAGGCAACTCATCGTTACTTACTTTTTTGTCTGCTTCCACGGTGCCACGTCCCTTTC